AAATGGCAGTTATTGCATGAGGCTGAGCACTGCTTCCCCACCTCCACCTACTGAACTCCCAGACTGCACCTAAATGCACATATATCTCTGCTTTCTAGGAAGAAAAAGTAAGTTACCAGTAAGATCTAAAGGCATAGTTAAGAAGAGAACAGTATTTGTGCCAAGATACTGCACACAGAGCTAAAAAAAGCCCTAAAACATCTGCAACCGCAAAGCCAGATTTATCCTCAGGAATGTGTGTATTCCAGTTGCTGGGAAAATTATAAAATAACAGCAGTACACATTAGCAGTGTGCCTTGTTACTAACTGAAAACACCAGATCTGTAAGGCAGATCCTATGGCCTCGTGTCAACCAAGACAACTCCTGTCTGAACAGAACAGGATTTGGTTTTTGGACGAGCGGCCCTGAGCTGTCTGTGCACTCACAGCCCCAGTCTGTGCATGCTCAGCACAAACCTACCAGGCTGTCCTCTCCATGTGGGTCTTTGGTGCTGGCACACACATCCAGGATGAACTCTATGGCTTGACAACTGCACCAGAATGCAAAAAAAAAAATGCTACAGAGCAAAGGATTAAATCCAAGCACATTGATTCAGTGGGAAACAGCAGTTGTCTTTATGCTGTTGTTAAACTATCACCATCCTCCTGCCCTCGGTGCTGAATATTCACCTTGAAAGCTTTAGTGGAGAAAAAAATTACAGAGGAAATCATTCAGTCTTGAGTATTGTAGAGGTTTAACTTTGTTGTAGTTTTTGGCAGCAATGGGGGAAAATACTTTCTAAAAGCACTACTGACTTTCAGCACAGCAATTCCTTGAACGTGTTGACTTCCAAGTCAAGAAGGGCAAGTCTACGTCCTGTTTTTATAATATAAATAATATTCAGGGATTGGAAAATTGATTATTCCTAATTTTGATCCAAGACAGGTTATCAGGAACAGAAAGAGGTACCAGGAGAGCCAGTTTTCACTTAATCACAAATACAGAGCATGAGCTTAATAAATGTTCTTTTCATGCAGTGCCATTCACACCACCTTAAAAACTATTCCAGAGACTAAAACTGGAAAATTAGCTGCTTTATTTCCAAGTACAACACAGCTTACTGTACTGCAGCATCAGCCAAAGCTTGAGGCCTCATCAAGGTAAAAATAAAACTCACTATGATGTCAGTTCTGAGTTTTTTCATTATAAAAAAGAAATCCCTCAGTTCTACAGTTGCAATTTTTTTTTTAACCAAAATAACTGGTGACAAGGAAAAGCCTGTGCTGTGCCATACTTTGCTGACTACATCAGTAGAACACATGTTTAGTTGTCCTGGAAATTGCTCCTTTTAGCAGGGCAGCTATCTGAAATTACTCTGAAAGGTGTAAATGGTTTTTACATGCATTTATATGTAATACACGTATTTAATTGGAAAACTGCCTCTTTTCTTTTCTTTTCTCCCTGTGTGTGCCATTGTCAAAAGAAAGCATCACGAAGTAGAGGAGTGTCAGCAGAAAAGCAGTGTTGGCCTGAGATGTTGGTAATTTCAGCAGCAAATATCAGCAAAGGCTTTGGGGGGTGATCTTACAGAAACTGCACAATTTGCCAGCACAACACTATCAGCTCTGTAACAGCAGCCAGAACTTCTATCTTGGGACACCACAAGCAGCCTGATCAGCAGTGAGTTCTGTACTGTAACCTGCAGGAGGAAGGCAGGAAAAAAGAGAACGTTTGCTTAATTAAAAGATTCATTATTTAAATGAACGTGCCTCAATCCACAGATCGTTGCTTCTCTGGATGGAATCTGTCCTTTCTCCACCACCCAGACATTCTGATACTCTAGCACAACCTAGTGCTTGAGAGCAGCAACAGCTCAGCAGGAAAAGTCTCGTTGCCCTACACACCTCACCACGTCTTCAGACACAGCTGCAAATCCTCCTTGTCATAAAAGCCCCGCATGGATCAACAACTCTCCGAGTCCTCATGTTAGAAAAGAAATTGCAGAGACTAATTAACAGCCTGTTTCCAAACCTGCCACATCTATTTCTCTCACAAGGAGAGAACAGAAGACGCTGCTGTCTCCTCAGCCAGGGCAGAGACTAAGAACTAAGAGATCTTAAATCAGCTGCTTCAGAAAACTGTTACCCACAAAAATACAGTGTGAGCATCTAAGAGGTTAAGGGAGAGCAGCTCTTTGGATCCTTATCCAGAAAGGAAGTAGCAACGACAGACTCCGGAGTTCATTACTTTCAGAGGGAGGAAAAGTCATTTACAGTGAAATGATGGAAGCAAACACTGCGGATTCTTTCATCTCCAAGGGGAAGAAAGCTCTCCATCAGCTAACTGGAAAGAAATCTCAAGCAAAGCCTTTCATTCAAATAACACCTCCATTCCACGGAATGGAATTGATTAAAGCCTTTAGTTTTTCATTTAACAACTGAGCAGTGTTGAAATGGTCTTGGACATGGACCAAAGGGAAGCTCAATATTTCCTTGGAGACATTAATACTTTAGAGCATTCAACATATAGTGCATTATATAGTAATTGCATAACATATGCCTTCTGTGCTTGGTAAGAAGTGGTGCCAGATGTGCTCTTGACAGTTCTAGCTTGAAGTGCCTGAATGGAAAAGATTAGAAGAAACCAAGTGCCAAGACCACACTAAACAATTCTGTTTCTTATTTTGTGAAGTACGTGGCAATCACAGTGCTGGCAACATCTCTACCAGAGGACTGAAAGTAAAATTGTGAAGGATGCTCAAGAAACTGAAGTATCACAGTCCAATCTGAGTTCTGATAAGTGATGAACGCTGTAAATTTGTAACCTACGCTGGTGGTTTGCTCTTTGCTCTCCCCTTTTTTCCCCACTTCTCAGAAGGAAATTACTGGGAGCAATTCTTTTGCTTCACTTACAGATTCTGATTCGGAGAAAAAAGTCAGAGAAAATGACATCTAAAACCAAAGGCACCTCCTGGCAGCCATGAGAAGAAAAAAATAGTCAAAAACTCATTTATAGCTTCTAACAATTTTGACCTCTGCAGCAGGCTTAGGAAGGCAAGTATTTCAGTAGATCTGCAGAACAGTGGGGCCCTATGGGAAGACAGTGAGAGATTTATAGCTGGAATTCTCTGCATTATGACCCAATATTACTTAGTACTTCACTCTCATAATCCGATGGATGATCCTGGGAAACAGAGGTATCTAACATGGGAAAAGAGCTCCCATGCCTTTTTCTAAGAGCTAACCCAGAGGTCCTGGTCAAATTCCATCAGAAAGGAGATGGAAATAGGAAAAACTTCTTCTCAGAAAGAGAGGTGCTGCAGTGGCACAGCTGCACAGGGAGGTGGTGGGGTCACCATCCTTGGAGGTGTTCAAAACTGCAGAGATGTGGCACTGAGGGCCGTGGGCATCGAGGAGCGGGGTGGGCTTGGGGATCTGAGAGCTCCTTTCTAACCCTAATGATTCAGTGCTTCTATGATTTGCAGACACAGCTCTTTACAGCAAACAGAGTATTTTCTCCTTGCCTGAAACCAGAAAATAATTAAGATAGATTGCCCACTACATAAATTAGAACCATACTTTATGAAATGAGCTGCAAGAAGCTAGACAGCAATGCACAGACCTGGCAACTTTTGTTCCACAAAGGAAAGCACTTACAAGCAAAGTTACAATACTCATGACAAAGCTTCCAAGTTCCAGCCTCCTCTATCAGGGGTTAGGGATGCTGAGATCTGAGCTGCTGATAGACTGAATGGGAGGATAACGATTTGTAGAGAGGGGTCACTGAAAAGTCAACAGAACAGCTGGCTGAGTCTGCTTTCTACTCAACTGCGCTTTGTCAAGGATAAACCCTTGCATTGTAGCACTGCTCGCAACCTGCACTTCTTTTTGTGACAACCAAATCAGCAAAAGCCCCTCTGCAGAGGATGAAATCCTTACGAGAACCAACAGCTGAGAAAAACGCAGTCAGTGTACATACAGCATGCACTAATCCCTCACAGCAGTCATGCGGGAGCAACTGAGTCTTTGTTTTTTGCTTTAAGAAGCAGATGACTGATTAAAGCTATTCAGGGAAGCAGCCCCCTGATTCCATTTTGTTTGGCTCTAATTACTTACAACAGGCTTCACTTACACTCCAAAGAGGTGTCTGACAGCATTAAGCATTACTAGTACTATGAAAGGCATTCACACCAAAGAGAAACACTACTCCTGAGTCTTCTTGTAACTGTGATGGAAATCTTGGATTTTCTAGGCAGGTCTTGCCATAATAAGGGACTGTATGTTCAGCTTTACAAAAGACTGCAGGGGCAGGGGGGAATGCTGGATTGCCACATTTCAGTAATAGAAACATGCAACTCCACAGTCCTACAGAGCACTAATAATAGCTGACAAGTCGCACAAACATGGGTGATGTATATCTTAGTTTGCTAAACACTGATTAGCATAATCCTGAGATTGGATGTGGGGTTCACAGCTTTAGGAGACACTTAGCTTCAGAACACCAGGCTTCTCAAACACCTGTAAGAGGCATTCATTACCTCCCTGTAACACAGCCATTTTCTCCACCTCTTCAGAATAAATGTGATTTGGGTTTTTTTTTTAAATGAAGAAAGTTCATAAAAATAAAAACATGGATAATAAACTGAGATTTTGTTTTGGGTTTGTTTCTGGCTCGTTTCTCTTCATTCTCTTATCTTGCTCAAAACCCACTTACAGCTTCCTCAGAACATTCCATGAATTCTACTTCATGCTTGGACAATGGGAAACCACACTAAAAACAAAGCACTGACAAAGTAAATGATAAAGTACTGAAAAATACATTTGTGAACACAGCCAAACCCAAGGGAATCCTCATGCCTGTAGGTGTTCATGAGTGAGGGGAAAGATGTCTGGATGAATACTGAAACGACAAAACGCTTCCAATACCTTCCTCGAAACCAGACAGACTGTCATACTGTGTATGTGAGAACCTCCTAACATCCCTGTTAATTTATACTGCTCAAGGATGGATCTCTACTTACTTGGTCAGCTTATGGCCCTTCATTGCAGCGAGGAACTCTTTGACAGTCTCAGGACTCTGGTACCTGCACGGTGTTTTTGAGATGTATTTCAGTGTCTGCAAGGAATAGCAAGAAAGTATGCATTAGTCACCAGTTACTCTTCCCATGTTGGCTATGAAATCAGGCATTTTTGAAGAACACTCATAAAAAAAAAATAATCATACTGTCATTTTGGCTTTTAAAGGTTCTTTTTCTAATTATTACTTACTTTTTTTGTCACAGATCTCACATTTCCTTCTTCAGTTAAGACTCTACTGATACTTCTCAATGGAGTAAGAAACGGGCAACACAGAGCTTCAACCTCATGTAATGAAAATTACATTAGTGCTTATCCAGGAAACCTGTGAATTCATTTCACAGATATACCCAGAGAGCTCATTACACTTCAGGTTACAATTACAGCTTGGATGACTCCCCCTGTGGCTTTGGATGGTCATTTCCCTGTTCTGCCCAGAACCCAAGCTGCCAACTGAAGGCTACAGACAAGGAGTGATCTTTAGAAAGCATTTGCTTTCTTGATTTGGATTAAATATCTCAGTTGGTACTCAGACTGTGATACAGCTGTGCTGAACACCATCACTCAGCTTTATTTGTTGTTTTAAAACCAAGAGATTCAAAGCTAGCTGAAAAAGGTACAGGTGCACACGTTCAATGCTTTGTTGTAGCTCGTAACGCTTGGGAAAAGCTGAATACTGTTCATCTTTAAAACCATACTTAACTCCTGCCAAGTTTTAATGAATTCCGTGCCAGGAATGCTCCCACTGCTCATCCATTAGAAGGCACTGCAGTTGCACAATGCTAGCAATGCCTCTCCGGTCTACAGCTGTTTTCATTTTTTATACAGGTTCTTGGCACTGCTTTCTTAAAGCTGATAGAAGCAGGTTAGCTGGGTTGTGAACATCTGGCAAGGTTAGTGCAGTATCAGCAATGTTCATCTGCCTTGAGACCATTTATTTCTGCTCCATTTTTAACGTAAAACTTACCAACCTCAACTAACTGCTGCAACATGTTACATCTGCTCTCCTTTGTTTAAAGCAACACAGCACCTAGCAGGCAGATCCTACCTTATGGAACTGGAACTGAGCAGATCGAAAAACAGTACTGGTAATATAACTCTTAAAAAGAAATAAATCAAACTCAATTTCCTGGCTGCCTGTGCATGGGAAGTAGCCCAAAATGAAGAGTTGGGAATATTGAGAAACAAAAGAAAGGTCCAGGAAATCCTCACATTGTCTGCACTGTGTGCGTCAGCAACTGCAGGATTTGAAAGAGCATTGGCAAAGTCTGCTTTGAATTAAGAAAAGAAAATCTGCAGCTGTTGATGCTGTGCAGCTATACACAAAGCCTCCAAGTACCATCCAACCCATCCAACTAAGTGGAGCAATGAGGCACATTAACCAGGATACCATAGGCACACAGCAGCTGTAATAATAACACAGGATCTCTAAGTCTGTATGTTATGCTCTGACGTTTCTTCTGTACTCGTAACTATTCTCAGAAAGTCTTTAAAGTGAATACTTATATTTAACAGTCTGAAACCAAGTCAGCTGATTGAGTTTACACAGCAGAAACCGAGACAGTGGGAAAAAAAGTTTTACAAGACCATCGTGTCAAATAAGAAGATATACAAGTGTATTTCCTGCTTACTTCCATTAAAATTTGTTACTTTACAAGCCTGGGTAAATAAAAATAGGCTTCAACAGCACTTCTGCTTAAGAGAGTTGATCAAATATGGATTGCTGTATGCTTAATGACCAGGTTCACTGGGCTGCTGAGAAACGCATTTAAAAGCACAATAAGGGGTCAAACAACGATTCCTGCTGCAAGTTGTCTGCCCTTTTCATACCAAATGGCTTCTTATTTACCAGCAAAGACAGCTGACACCATATTGTCACTCAATACAATTGTTTAAAGGAGCAGTTTCTTCTCCAAGTTTGTCTTTTTCCACACCTCCAACTGAAGTGCCTGATGTGCACCAAAACACAGCTCCTCGTTTAACAAGCTGTGTCTGCTTACTTCAAAACCAATGGATACATGCAAGCACAGAACTCAGCAAGACATACCCAGCATGAGCAGAAACAGTGGGATGACACATCTGGTTCTCTTCCAGCCTAACATAGAATAAAACGTACCCAGGGTTTACACTTCAAGCTTCGCTCCCTGGATAAAAAATGAGCATCCTACTGGTATTTAACATGTAGCAGTGAAGTAATTAAAGCTTTAAGCTGCATGCCAACATAAAAGTAATGAAAATGAAAATATGTATACTCACAGGGTCTTTCTGAGCTGTTTGAAAGAGGCAGAGGAAGAGACTGTCAGTCTCCATGAAGATTTAAATTAGCTTTTTGGTAAGCCTCTATTTCGTTGAATCTGAGGCTTAGGAATTACAGCTCTGTACCTATCCAAACAAAGGCAGAACTAATAGAAAAACAAAGCCTAGGCCAAATCTTCTTCACACGAGTAGTTTCACCACTCAGTGGGATCACTCATGCAAGCAAGGCAATCTGCTTCCAACTGGCTGCCAATCACAGTGCTGCTCATGCAGTCCTCTGATACGGACACAAGAGGTCATATTTCAAGTGTGCTAAGAATTTGCTACTTTGGTGTATTCAAAATGTTAACAATCTGTATTATACAATGTGATTAGCTCTTTCCAGCAATAGGTTGAACATTTGCTACCAATCTGGCATCCAACTGCTGTCGATATTTGTACTAGTAATTTTGTGATTCCAATCGTCTGTGCATTGCTCTTCTGATAAAATCTATTTTAGTTGGAAATTATTAGTTTAATTCTGCTTATAAGAAAACACCCAGTGTGATCTGTGCCTCAGCTCTGAAACCATGCTTAGATGGCATCATCAATTAATCACACAATAGCAAGTTCTGGCCTGGGTCTTATAAGGGTATAATATGTGCAATCTCTAAAACAAACAAGCAAACAAACACTAAAACAAGAACTGAACAAAAAACCCCACGGTTTTTGTTTATTCCTTTTGTAAAGAATTTTAATCAGAGCCAAAGTCTGTGATCTGCAAGCACGTCCCAGCTAAAGAAAACTTCCTGAAAATGAGCTTTCTTACAGCAGGACAGGCAGTGCTCTGTTATCTGGGAAGATGGGAAGCTGGAGCTTCCAGAGAAAGGAGAAGCCTGGTGATGCATATTTGGTGTCTGCCGTTTCCAAACTCCTCCCTGGCAGCACTGGGCAGTCTCAGCCTAAAATTACCCAGATCAGACTTATGTCTCTGCTTCATTACTTGCTCCCACTGAAAGGGGGAACAACTGCAATGAGAGCACAAAGTAACTGGGCAGTCAGACGGATCCAGTGATCCAACACCCAACAACAGGAGATCTAAATGCAGCCAGAACTGACCCTAGAAATATCCAAGCTATGATCACATCACAACACATCTGAGCTTATAAATCACACTGACAAAAGTATCACTACATGGAACCAGCTGCAAGGCTCCGCACTTGTAGTGCAGTCAGTCTGTCAGTCTGAGTAAACTGACCAGAGATTATGAAAATTGACCAAAAAAAATTAATGAGGGTAAACGTGATGCAGAATGGCCTAACAATTTGAATCAGTGCAGCTGGGGGTATTTTACAGTCACCCACCTCATACATGATCGTGTTCAGATTCTGCTGACCAGAGCTCTGCTTGCTTTTTCCACTCTCTTTGCGCTGCTGCTTAAGATCAGTGAGTAGCTGGAACACCTAGAAAAAAAGCAAACAAAAAAGCTTGCAGTCATTTGAAAGCATTTTACCTAAATATATGACATTGGGAAAACAAGCAACCCAAAATCCTAGCAAGCAATTGAAACTACAGAAAGGATTACTTCTTTGCTGACTGCACCAGCAGGTAAAATGAGAAAATATTCTGGCATCAGGAAGCTGAATAAGGAGATGTGTAAATCCATCAAAGCAAGAGCAAACAGATTCCTAGCACTAATTACATGTTATCCAAGAGACCTAGGAGAGAAATCAGCAGGAGAAACCTATTCTATCTTATCCCACGTCCTAAACAGAGTAGGGTACATACACTGCTGTACATACACCACTGTGATGGCACACAGCTCCTATTTAAATACAAGTAAGATGCCCAAAGAAAATTCCCTCAGATGCAACAGCAACACTTTCACACTTACAATGAGTGAGATCCAGAGGATAAGCCTGAATGCAAGGAAAACATTTTGATTTTTGCAACTATCAAATCAGCTGCAACACCACAACTTCTTTACGTGTCACAGTCAGATGAGCAGCAAAACATTGTGAAAGCCTCACAATTACTGCTTGATTCCCATATTACACCACATCTGGTTGAAATTTCTTCAGATGTTTTCCCTCTGCTTTACAGATTATCCAAAGCCAATACCCACAGCACAGTAACACACCACTTCTTAGTGCTTCTTCTTGGTAACTGGCTTAATTCAAGCTCCACTGAAATTATAAACTTAAGAAGGACGAATGGAAACATTTCTAGATGGTGAGAAACACCAACACAGCAGGTAGGAGCCCTGCATTTACTTTGTGTGGTACTTCTATGAAAAAGGAACATGGTGTCCATTAAGCACGAGCAGGCAATCCTTGAAAGCCAAGCTGAAACTATGCAATGAGCAGCAGACAACATGAAGACAACATGACTGCTGACAATGAGGCATCAAAAACCAACCCCAAGCTCACAAAAGAAATTCAGGCATAGAACATTAAATGCATCAGTCTTGAACACTCCTTTCAAACACCAGTTTCTGTGCAAAATATTACCTTGATAAAGAGAATGTGAGCTATGCCATCAAAGAAAAGAGAAGCAAACAGGAAGAGGTCCATAGTTTTAAGGGAATCAGTAACTTGAAGAGCAGTAAAAAGCCATGCCCAATGTAGCTGCAGGCACTGCAAATCCCTTCCTGCAAAGGGCTGAAAGCTGTACACATGACAACTGCGCTCTGAAAGCTGAATAAGCACTCATCAGTAACTTCATTTTCCCCACTTCCTTCTGCTCTTTTTCAACATATGTGGTGCATTCACTAACATCAAGACAAAGCCAAACAGAATTTTGTCCAAAGAACACAATGAACCGATTCTGCAGTTCTCCCTCCTCCACGCCACCCCTTTGGGACACCCACAGATTTCACAAAATGGGGCCAATGCCACAACTGAGCCCCAGCAATACCAAAGTTCCATCATCCAAAGAAGGAAGCAGAGATGATTTTGCAATAAATAACCTCCGAAATACTTGCTATCTTCTGTACTGCAATAGTACACTTATTTTGAGCAGATACTTAGTGCCAGTGTGGCTCAAATCTACTTCTTTGTAAGACAGCTCTCTCCAAGTGCCTCATTAAAGCTCTTCTAACAGCCACCAGATGGTTGTTTTGCTGTACACACACAGCTTGAGAGAAAACACTTTAAGATTTGCTTCAGAATAGGATAAAACAGCTGTGCAACTTTAAGCCTCAGCATTAAAACAATATAAAGAAAAAATACGGTTTACTGAAATCATTCAAAAGCCACCTTCATAAACAATGCATGGAGAGCTTCCTGTCACCTGGCTGAAGTTCAACCAGTGTGAACATCACAGTCACAGAACACCCTGAGTCAGAAGGGAGCTACGTAAGGATCAAATCCTCTCTAATTTCTTTCTACCTCATTAAAAGAAAAAAGCCCACAAAAAATGCATCTTTACTCTGGAGACAGGAGAGTAATTACAAACTTACCTACACTAGAAAATAAGACTCTCCAGATTTCCTTTTTCTTTTTCCTTAATAACAAATAAAATAGGAGGACAAAGCAATAATCACAGACAGGTCTCACTTCAAAAAGAAGCGTGCAGGCGACTGAGCACAGCATCACAGTGCTGGTTCAGCATCAGGATGGAGACAGACGTACCTCAAAGTTACTCAGCAGTGCAGCATTCGCATCTTTTCTAAAAGAAAAGAAAAAAGAATACAATTATTTACGGTCCAAAAGAAACCGTCTGCAGTTTTTCTTTGCAGAATCACAGGCTCTAAAAGAACGGACACTATTTTCATATTTCCTCACAAAACCATTCAGAAACTTATCTGTGAGGAATCTACAATTACCAATCTGTTGCCACATCAGGAAAAGCATTATTTTTCCACAGCATAATCGTGCCATAAACATCCATCATATTTGGTGCACTTTGTCCCACCACCCATAACACGCTTCCATCTCGCACTCCTTTTATTCAGACCCACTCACCCAAATTCACCAACTAAACCCAAATCTTCTCTCTTATATAGAAAGGCATCCAGTTCTATTTGACAGGAAAAGTCATTAAGATTGCACAGACTATTTATTCATTAGCGAAGAACAAGGAAAGAAAATACAATTACTATTCCCAGACAATGCACGTATGAGTGAGTACAGCTATGCCACTCAATTCACACACATGTTGAATTCTAAGAACAAATGAACAGCCACACAAAAACTTATCAAAATCCCTCTTTATTTATTATTTCAATCTTCACACGACTGCTCCTTCTCCAGCAGCAAGAGGCTGAGTGCCCTGTTTCCCACCAGCTCTACACTTATTAATTCTGTCCCAATTAAGAAACACTTGCTGTCCACCACAGGTGAGCTGACTGCATTCTCATTGAGTTAAATGTGTTTTTAAATTAATGGTGCAACTGTGGCACCTATATTGCGTGGTACTTCTATGAAGAAGGAACACGGTGTCCATTAAGCACGGGCAGGCAATCCTTGAAAGCCAAGCTGAAACTATGCATTGAGCAGCAGACAACATGAATATATTACTATATATTACTATGTACTTTATATTACTATATTACTCCTATATTACATGATTATATTACTCCTATATTACTCCTGCATATTGAAATTTTGTACTCGGAAATTAAAAAAAGGGGACAGAAAAGCCTGACGCAGGACACCATACATTCCCCTCACAATACATTGTGCTGAGCAGTCAGCAGCCACAACAACAGCAAGTTGCCATACAAAAGGAAGGAAAAAAAAAAAAAAAAAGGCTTTTCTCAGGTCTGCGCATATAACAACAAAAAAAAAGGTACAATGTATTGTTAAGCACCATCCGAGGCCTGAATAGAAGCGTCCCGTTCATCGCTTTCAAATGCGTTAAATGCATCCACAAACTTCCACAGGTTCCATCATTGTTTTTACATGAAAAGGACCTCCTAAAATACGCTGAGATGAACTCCAACTTCCATTCTGCTGACTCGAGCCAAACTTCAGCCAGTGAGCTCACGCAGCTGCCATTCACGTTTTACAAACCCTATAGCTTCTGTTGTGAGGTAAATGCAATTCTTCAGAATCTTTGCATCCAGGCCATGCTACACAAATCCCTATGGATCAAAGCCACCCTTTGTTAGGAATCAAAACACCGCTGGCCAATTGCGCGGGGAATCATCGGGTGACAAAAGTGAGAGGATCTATAGAGCAAATACATCACTGGGAAAACGGGTCCCTGGGAAACCTATCAGAAATTAAATTATTTAAAACAACCGCTTTGTTTTTTTTCTGTTTTTTGGTGTTGTTTTTTTTTTAAACACCGCCATGCTTATTTTCCTTCTTACAGTGGATGGTAAATGAGCCAGCCTAGATCTTAAGCCTTCAACACTGCTTGCTGTGCTGAAGCACCAGAGCTACAAGCTGGAAAGCAAGCCCTGCTTCAAAAACGCTATAGAATTCATTTTTGCGACATTAAAACTTATCAGTCCCAGACGAAGACTTAAAAAGGAACGCACCAAAAGAATAAATAATCTTTCTTAGAACCGAAGGCCCTCCTGGGCCTCAGCACAGGACAAACACCATCACCCCGCGCCCCACAGCGATGCCAACAAGGTAAACAGGCGCTCGGCTCAGACGCACACAGACTGTATCTGCACACACAATAAAAACCCCACACGCAGCACGGCCCGGCAGCCCGCACGCGGAGCAGCGCCGCAGCCCAACCCGCCCCTCTCCTTACACCTCCATCTTGTCCGCCGCCCCGCGCAGCCGCGCGATGGCACCGCCTCGCAAGGGGCGGCCCCTGCCGCAGTGCAGCTGGACGGGAGCGTGTGGTGAGGCCGAAGGAGGTTCGGGAGAGGAGAGAGGAAGCTGAAAACGAAGAGGAACGACCGAAAAAAAGCAGAAACAAACAAACAAAAAAAACCAAAACGTTCTCACAAGCGAAAAAGAGCAACTGCATTGGCCGGGAATCGAACCCGGGCCTCCCGCGTGGCAGGCGAGAATTCTACCACTGAACCACCAATGCTTGCGTTGTTGGCTGATCTTCCCACCTGAATCTCTTATGCTCTGTTGCCAATCTTGGTCGGCATACAGACTTCTGTCATCTTTGCATTGCAATAAAAGACCTTTCAGGCATTCACAAACCTTTAAAATAGATGCACCTACGAGTCCCTCCGGATGATACGGAGGATGAGAATATACCATAAAATCACAGTCATAGAATATCCCAAGTTGGAAGGGACCCACAAGGTCCAACTCCTGGCTCAGTGCAGCACCACTCAAAAGTAACAAAACATGGACCCTTTGTACATTGAAAGGAAAGGCAGATTTCACTTGCAGAACAATAACTACTGCAGACAGAAGACTTGGTATGAAAAATGTTATTTGGAGTGGAAAATAGCATTGCTGTAGTCCTTCTAAATCAATATCAGGCATTTGCAAATAGAAAAGTAAAGCCTTATTGCTGTATAGATGTGTAGTCCTGCTGTGGTCTGATTTTTGTGTGTTCCTGTGTGGAGACAGGAGCTGGACCCAACGATCTTTACAGGTCCCTTCCAACTCGGGATGTTCTCTGATTCTATGAGTCCCATACACTGCTTGCTCATGGCAGGGCTGTAAGAGCAATAGAGGAAAGAAGATGGGTTAGACATGTTGTTCCCACCACCTCCCTCTTATAGCAGCAGCACAAAACCCACTAGCTAATATTCTCTCCGGAGTCAACCCAGGAGAAAATCTACTCTCAATCTGGGTCTTTGTTTCTCCTTGAGGTGTTGCAGATTGTTGGCCAGTTCTGAATGTTTTGAGAAAACAGAAGCACTTCAGGAGCCATCTGAAGTGCTCAGCCATAAACAGCTCTTGGGTGTTCAGGTACAGCCATGGTCAGATACCTTAGTGCTGGCAAAGGCTTAAAGTTTTTCAGCCCTTTTCATTTGCAGATCCCTAAAAAAGTTTCATTAGATATGTGGATCCATCCACGTACAAGTTGTAATACAGATGGAAATTATTTTATACCCTAGAATCACTTTTCATGGAGTCCTGAGGAAAAAAAGAGCCAGGTGAAAAGTCTTTAACCTGCCGACTGAAAGCTGTTGTCTGACCCAGTGGAATGGCTGCAATGGATGCTGGTCTTTTTCATGTCAGGATTAACTGACCTTCCAAGTTGGCAAATGCCCTTCAACTTCTTTGCCATGTTTCTAATCTTGCCCATGAAACTGCCTGTACACCACCTCCCAGGTAGACTAAAAAGAAGAAAAGAATTTAAAAGCTTTCACTTGAGAATGTTATTTCCAGACTTTACCAAATTTCCAGAGTTGTGTTCCAGAAGCCTACAAATCCTTACGTGCCTCTCGTCACTCTCTGTAGATATGGATTCAAAATCTTCAGCATATTAATTGTATTTCTCCTATGTTAGATTTCTCCCCCAGCACCAATTTATCATCTTTGTGTTCAGTGTTTCTCCCAAAGTTTTGTTCCAGACCTTTTTTACTGTCCACAATGACAATGCCCAATCCCAGCAGCTAGAAAGAATGAGCATAACACAAATGCCTCTCTCAGTGGCCCTCAACCTTTTTCTTTCCAAAAGAAATATTCTTCCTACATTCTTCCTACATTCTCCCTAGCAGAGACATGCAGCCTGTTAGGGTTGAAATACACAAACGACCAGCTACAGGTCCACTGACATCATGCAAGGGGAATCTCTAAGAGAGAACTCATTACCATTACGTACAACTCTGCAGGAGAGATGGAGTGATTAGAACTTTGTTTTGAATTGCTGCACGTTAGATGTTAGACAGTTATGCTACACCATCCATAGGGAATGCAGACATAGGTTTTTCTAAATGTGCTTAGCATGTCAACATTTTAAGCATTGGCTTGTGATTGTTACCACTAAGGCTTGGTAGAGAGGGGCCTCGGTATTAACTATTGAAAGCAGGGGGCCTAGCAATTGCTATTGAAAGCAGATCTGCAGGGTATTTGTATTCTTTGTCATGAAAGATGTTTACTGTATTCAGCATTTCGCTGATCACCCTATAGTGTCTTTTTTTCTTTTACATTCAAAATTCATTAAACAAGGTTGTTGTTTTTTTTTTTTTAACAAAAAATGTCAGCACTGCTTCACACCAGTCTAGCTGACGCTGCGTTTGACCAGCACTTTCAGCCCACTGCGCTTTTTATTTTTCTAAACCAAAATGACACTTAAAAAAGAATGTTTTTAAAGAAGATATATTGTAGCTGTTTGTCACCTCAGCCTCAGTTATGAAAATGTTATGGATAGAGGATTTCTATATACCACAAAAGCACTTTCGGAGCTGCACTCCACAAGTATTGCGCTCTTCCAGCAAAACAGAAATAAGCACTGTGAATAGCAAGGATGTGAATGTGATTGCTAAAGCAAGTACAAATAAAATTCAAATCTTAGAGCACATTAAAATATATTTAACTGAACTTCTCCATGCTGCAGCATGGGCGATTTCCTCTTACTACTTCATTGCATGTCATCTGGGAATGGTAATTTATGAATGATGTGCCATTCTCTGTGCCAAATGGAAAACAAGTGGACAACAAAACACCCTTCCATGAGAACCTCCTCAGGATTGACTGGGGACTGGGGATCTGGGGGGTCATTCTTTCATTAAGCAAATAAAGGACTGAAAGAAGAAAACAGACAGCAGTGAGACATCAGTACCAGCACAAATGAAGAAGATAATAATGATGAGGATACGTTTCAGTGTTTGTTAGAAGAGACCTATTCTGCAATTCTATTCCCCTATTTTTCCCTCAAAAAAAAAAACCTTCCCAGCCCCAAAAGTCTTTAAGACATCTTATTTTTTCAATGTTCAGTTTCACATTAAGGATTTCTGATTGGCTTTACAGCCTCACTTCCATTTCTATTACAACAATATTACTCTGTATTCTATGTTGCCCGCTGTATAGAAGAGATCAGTATGAAGTGTTTCATCTGAAAACAGGAAAAGAGAATTAATAACCTTCTAGATACAATCTGGGGCAGTGTTTGTACATAAACTAATCCCTGTGAAGTTGCTCAGTGCACAGTGATGCCGCTGATGGATCCCATGTGGAAGCACTTGTCCTTGCCATGTGTAATTCCAGGCATAGATTAATAAAAATAGGATCATCTGATAACAAACACAGAAGGCTTCTTGATCACAAAACTAGATTTGTGATCAAGACACAGATTATGAAAACAGCAGAAATGCAGCTAAGTTGTTGCTTTTGATTAATACCCGGCTGCACGTGGGTTGCACATTTTTGTCCCACAGCATCCATTAGAACAATTTATTTCATCACCACAGATATAACACATGAATGTGTTACTGATCTCTCATCTCACTTGGGCACCTGGGATCGTTTTTTTTCCCCTTTTTCCCTCTGGGCACATCCTGCTGGATATCTTCAGGCAGAAAAACATACAGTCCTCACTTAGGCTGTGTGCTAGCCTATACTCATACCACAAACATGAGACAGATGCTCTCCGTATCGGGGGCACTCAGGTTGTAAACTGAATGCTTATGATTCTCCCAAAAGAACAGCAATTTCCTGTCAAAGCCCAGAGTAAGGACAAGGACATTTGTAAAGGGTGAAAGAGGCAAGAAAAGTAGTAAAAATGATGGATTTCAAAGCAAGAAGGATGTGATCACAAAGCAAGCAATTAAGCAGTTTCCTAGTGTAGATGTCCTGGAGTAAATTGAAAAAGGAGACAAGTTGAAGAACTGAGAGAAAGAAGAAAAAGGACTGGACAGGCAGCTAAAGGGAAGGAAGAAATGGGGATGAGAAAATTAGAATATGTTTCATGAGTTTTGCCAAAGGTCTGTGCCATGCAGATGGAAGCATGCTACACTGTAGTAGCACACGGTAAGGCAAACCAGCAAGTGCTCTGTCAGAGCAGGAAAGTGCTGTGTCTAATGTGAAACTGATGCTGGGGAGCAGCTTTGTGAGCAGCTGTTTCCAATGCTCCCATTTTTTAAATCAATTCTTTAAAACCATGATATGTGGAGTTTGATGGAGTTAAGACATGGGCTATTTGCCAGGGCTGCAAAACAGTGACTGCTGTGGCACTGCACAAAACCCACAGCCTCAGGTTCACAGGACCTTCTCAAGATTGACCCAATGCAATTGGTGACAGCAGAAACCCTGAAAGCTGAAGTGTCCTTTGAAGTGGGGTGAAAAGGCTCATCCGCACGGGAACTGGAGACAGAATAGCTCCCAGCTGTTTCATTCTTGTGTGTTGCTGGCAATGTAGGTGGAGTGTGGATGATCCACCCAACATCCCAAGTACATTCTACCTATGTAGAGGGGGATGCCAGAGCAAAAGGACTCCTTCCATACAAGGATACTCCCTGACAAGGAGATGACCTGCCAGTTAAACCACACAGCAGACACTCTCCCAACACAGATACTCTTACACCAATATCTTTACAAACAAGCAACATGAGGGCATCTCTGCCAGCTCTCTTCTTCACAGCCACCCTACCCTCTGGGAAACCTCTCTCTGACCTTTTCCTGATTGAGCAGTGGCCGGACACAGGACAGGGGTGGGCAGCAGGAGGGGGGCCAGGGAGGAGGGGGGCAGAGCTGGGCTGGACGAGGGGACACCCCGCCCCAATGGGGCGTGACGAGCTGCCAGCCCAGGCTCCGAGGCACGTAAAAGCGGGGCGGTGAGACCGGAGAGCACGGAGCAACCAGCCAGGGCTGAGCTGCGGAGACGGTGAGCAGGGCCGTGCGGGCAGCTGGGGAGGCTCTGTGCTGCTGTGGGGCTGGGGCAGAGCTGAGCTGAGCCAGAGCTGAACTGAGCATCACTTTGCTGTTCTGCAGGTTGCACCAGGTGCCAGGATCGCTGCAAACACGAGCAAAACGTCGTCCGAAATGGCAACCGAGGTGAGGCTGAACTTTGCTTTTCCGATGGGGTGCTCTCGGGGTGCTGATAGCTGACTGATAGCTCCACAGAGCATCTAATCATGTTTGTTAGGGTGCTTCAGGGTGCTTCTCTCTGTCTGATTTCTTTTCCCAGAATTTTGAATGGAAAGGGAACAGCAAACATATTTGCTGCAACATACTTATATACTGCGATAATATGCTTCTTTACTACTTATATACTGCCATATACTAAGATATATTCCAATACCTCTTCCCCATCCAAGCGCTTAGCTCCCAACACTGGCCTTCAGCACCCCATCCATTCACAGCAGCAGGTTGCGCTCCCAGCGAGGGGCTGCAAAACCTTGCTTTCACAGCTCGATTCCTCCGCCGCAGTTCCTGCTGACAAACTGCTATAAAGAGAAAAGTTAATAGACTTGAGCACTTCGTGCCTACAGTTTCCCTCCTCTCTTCCGGCTGCCTGGGAAGGGGCTCCCGGAGCCGCCCGCTGTCCATGGTACCGGCGGCCCCGCAGCCCGGCGCTGCCGCAGCTCCTCGGTGTTTGAGGATTTGGGAGTTTGCTGCTCTTCCTCTTTTTTTTCTTACTCAACATTCATAATACTGAATGGTCTGCGCTTTAGCCATTTTGGTGTTAGCTTCAAATACTCTGTAATTACAGGAGTGTTCTACGAGTGTGGCTACTTTTAGCCCATAGCTCTTGGTCAACCGAATATTTTCTTGCAGTTTCCCCGCCTCCTACATCTGTGTTTCAAGAGTCCATGAGGGAGTTGATGACCTGTAGCTACCTTGAAGGATAGATCCATACAGTCCTTATGCCATATGCACTAATACTTGTTTCAAGACAAAATCTCTCCAACAGGGGTAAAATATCTCAGACTTGGACTGGACAGCTCAAGGCTAAATACCTGCAAAAATAACATTTACTCCAACTCTTCTTTTTTTTTTTTTTCTTCAAAGCTCTTTAAGTCCAGAGGCCTTTTTGATCAGTGCTACAGCACTGCAAAGGAAGATGCTGGGGCATGCCCACAGTTTTACTTGAATTATGTTTTACTTTTACCACGGCACTGAGAGATTTTTAGGAGAATGTATCAATAATGCATTCGAATATGTCCTTTAATTTCATTACTCTCAGGGGGATAAACTTTTGGGAGGAAGATTTGTTGGAAGCACAGATCCCATCATGGAGATTCTCAGCTCTTCTATATCCACTGAGCAGAGACTGTCTGAAGTTGATATCCAGGCAAGCATGGCTTATGCTAAGGCCTTGGAGAAGGCTAGCATCCTAACCAAAACGGAGCTGGAGAAGATCCTGAGTGGCCTGGAAAAGGTATTTGTTTCCTTCATAAACTGTCATGCATGCTTAGTACAGTTCCCACAATAGTACTTTGATGAACAGCTTATCTGACAGCATCTGTTGTCACCTCCCTGAGTTAATGCTCTAAAAACCATCCTTCTGTATCCCCATATCCTATTTCTTAGCACTAGGCATGTGGAAAAAGGCATGTGCCTTCCTGAAAGGGAATGCTGTCAGAAACCAGGGAAAACTGGAGAAGCCTCTGTGTATTGCATTTGGTACTCCAGCATATAATCTGGAAAGGAGATAAATGCTTAGAATCCATCTAGCTAAAGCAAAAATCCCTGATGAGCACAGTGTGGATACTTCTTATGGAAACCTGGTGCCTCTGTGAGGTGTGCTCAGCATGACCTGCCC